CTACGACTACGACTACGACTACGACTACGACTACGACTACGACTACGACTACGACTACGACTACGACGACTACTACTACTACTACTACCACTACTACCACTACTACCACTACCACCACTACCACCACCACTACTACTACTACTACTACTACTACTACTAGCTACTACTACTACTACTACTACTACTACTACTACTACTACTACTACTACTACTACTACGAGTCGTACATCTACTACCCTCCAAAATGGGTATCGACTGACACCATCCAGTTGCTCGTTCGCTCGGAAGCGTCCAAGAGTGGGATTTGCACCATGGGGCACGCGCGCGGACGAAAGGAAAGTCCAAGGGACATGTTGACGAAAAGAAACTCCAAGGAGACAGTACAATATCCGGAAACGTATCATGCCTCCGCTCATGACCCTCCCCCTCACTTGGTCTATCCCCCGTCTCAGGGGGCACCAACAAAAACGATACCGCTACTCCCCGGACCTCTGCCCGGGGGCGTTCTGTCCAGGATCTCGAGGCGATTCCAGCCGTGGCGACGAAGGCTTCCCAGGAGACGCAAAAAAGGAAAACTAGCGGTAGGCAATGGTATCGGTGCTGTTTCCTCCTCCGCCTCCCGGCCGCGCCCCATTGTCGGGTCGGGCGAAAGGGGGGGATAGCAAAAGGGGGGGTTGAGAATCAGCTCACATGGCTGATTTTCCCGGCGCCTCCCGGCGCCGGAGGGAGCCATGTATCGAGGAATGGGCCCCTCGGGGAGGCCGAAACCGGCTGCATGCAGCAAATTTCGTAACCCCCCCCTTTCCCAATCCCTCTCTTCGTCCGGCCCGACATTGCACCGCGACGGGACCGGGGCGGCCCAGCCGCGGGGGCGGAGCCTCGCCGCCCCGAGCCGCTCGCCGGCAGGCCCGCGGGGGAGCGGCGCAGGCGCCCCGGGCGGCGGCGCGCCAGCCTCGCCCGGCCCCCGCGGGGGGCGGCGCGGGGGGGCAGCGTGGGGGGGCGGCGGGGGGGGCAGCGGGGAGGCGAGCGGGGGACCCCTGGGCGGGCCCCCCCCCCCTGGAGGCCTTTTTCCTCTCCCCCTGGGCGGGCCCCCCCCCCTGCGCCGAGGGCCCCGCGTGTCGGCCGCGCGCGCGGCTAGGCTTGGGCCCCTCAGGCCGCCGCAAGTAGCGGAAATAACGCGGGGACGGGGGGGGGCGGGGAGGAGGGCGGGGAGATACGCGGGGGGGCAGCGCGGGAGGGAGGATCGCGAGGGGGGGGGGGGGCGCGGGGGGGGGGAGCGCGGGGAGAGGGAGGCTCCCGGGGGGGAGCGGGGGCGGGGGGAGACGAAAAGCGCATGCCTCCACGACGACGGCGTCCTGTCGGCGGAGAGCAACGAGAAAGGGCCCGCCGCAGCACTGAAGTGAGAGAGGCCCTCTCTCACTTCGGTGCTGCGGCGGGCAACGCGCGGGCACGAACGACTACTCCTCCATGACTTTGGATGCCAATCGTACCCGATCACATACATGAGCGATACATTGAGCATACGTGAGCCATTCAGCCTCCATTGAAGACCCCCTGTCGCAGATCCCCTCTTTCACCCTCCAAGAGGGGGAGGGAACGGGGGTTCTCTTCAATTTCCCCGTGGACTGGGCTTTTTCCCGGCAAACTGGGTTCTTTCCCAGCGCAGCGCCGGGAGAGTCCAGTTCGTGTAGCTGTTCAGCGAATGTCGCGCGCGTCTGTCTTCCAAATTTCCGATGCCACCTGAATGGCTCGCACTTCACTTTGTGCGGAGCGGCGGTGGTGACGGCGGCGGTGATGGTGATGGTGAAGGGGCTGATGGCGATGCTGAACTTCATTGTTGGAACCCTTCTAAAAATGCTCCCGTTGGCCATCGGCCAACCCCGCCGGCCCCCCCCTCCGCCTCCTCCTTCCCCTCCTCCTCTTCTTCCTCCTCTCCCCTCCTCCTCCTGCTCCTCCTCCTGCTCCTCCTCCTCCTCCTCCTCCTCCTCTTCCTCCTCCTCTTCCTCCTCCTCCTCCTCCTCCTCCTCCTCCTCCTCCTCCTCCTCTTCCTCCTCCATTTGCTCCTTCTCCTCTCGCGGGAGGCCTCGCCGAACCTGATCTCCGTCGGCGCTCCCGCCCAAGATGGCTCCCGCGCCGCCGATGCGGCGGCAGGCGGCGGCCGGGCGAGATCTCGGAAGGTCCGTCCACGCACGCACACGCGCACACGCGCACACACGCGCACGCACACACGCGGGACGCACGCGCACACACGCACACACGCACTTTTTTTACAAGCGCAAAGGGAGCCCTGTGGCGAGGAGGGGAAGCAGGGGGGGGGAGGGAGGGAGGGGCGGGGCAGGGGGGACAGCCACTGCACCAAATTAACTCGGTGCCTCCGGCGCGCCTGCGCGCGCGGCCTGGCGGGCGCGCAGGGCCGCGCGCCATGCGCCCTCGTCGCCTCCGGCACGCGCCGGCGGCAGCAGGAGCAGCGCGCCCACGCGCGGCGGCAGGGCGGGGGCCCAGCCCGCGCACGGGCGTGCCGCCAAGGCGCCCCACCGCGGCGCCGTGCAGCCGCACTGCAGGCAGGCGACCCAGCCAGGCCCCTGCGAGGCGGCGTGGGCCCGCCAGGACCGCCCGCCGAATAGCGCCTGGGCGGCCTCCGCTGCGGGCTGCGGCGGGGGGTGCCGCAGGGGCTGCGGGGCCCGCGGCGCTGCCGGCTGCGGCGGCCCGCCGCCGGCGGCCGCCGCGCGTCGCCGCCCTGCCGAGCGCCGGACTGTCGTCCAGCGGCGCCGCGCCCGAGGCCCGCCCGGCGCGGTGCAGTCGTGGTTGGCCTTGAGGGCCGCCAGCTCGACCGCCGCCAGAGCCCGCTGGACCCCCTCCAACGCCTGCAGCTGCCGCTCCCGCTGCTGGAGCAGTGCCGGGGCGGCCAGCCGCGCCCGCGCTGCCGCCCCAGCTAGCCTGTCGGCCGCCGCGTTGCCGGCGTGGTCCTCGTGGGAGAGCCCCCTCCCCAGCGCCTCCGCCTCGTCCAAGTGGCCCTTGACCCAGCGGGCCCTCAGCCAGTCGGCCCGGCAGTAAGGGGCCAGCCGGTCCCAGAGGTCGGCGCGCGACCACTCCATAGGCCCATAGGCGTTGCCCCGCCCCGGAGCGCCGCCACGCCGTTGCTCACGTACTTCGAGTCCGTGACTACCTCCACCGGCCCACCAGCCAGCCCCAGCGCGTGCAAGGCAGCCGAGAGTTCGGCGCGCTGGGCCGTCTGCTCGCCATCGACAGGGCCCCCGCGCTCCAGCGTGCCAGCAAGGTGCTCCACGCGCGCCCCCCAGCCCGCCCTAGCCAGCAGGGGGTCGGCCGGGTGCACGCAGGCGCCGTCGGTCCACGCCCGCGTCCGTTGGCCCGCAGCCCCCGCGGCAGCGGCGGCCAAGCTGGGCAGCGCCGGCGGCGGCAGCGGCCACGCCGCCTGGTCAGCCAGAGCGGCCAGGCGCGCGTCCCGCGGCAGGACCCCCGTCAGGGCCACCTCCGGCGGCAGGCAAGCCCGCGCCGCCGCGGGGGTAAGCCCGGCGGTCGCGAAGGCGGCGTGCCTGGCTGAGTCCCAGCGCGGGCAATCCCAGAAGCGGTGCTTGGCGTCCTCCAGCGGCGCCCCGCAATGCGGGCAGCCCGCTGGGCGACCCCACTTCGAGGCCACGCTCTCCGTGACCACGTAGCCAGACAATACTGTGCGCAGCGCGCCCGCGGCGTCGGCGGCGAGACGCCCCTGCTGCAGGACCCGCCGGGTTGCCCAGCGATCGACGCCGGCGGCCACGTGCCCGAACATGGCCCGGCGCCCCGCCAGCTCCCGAGCCTCCCTGCGAGCCCGCGCCTCCAGCAGCACCCGCCTAGTCGCCTGCAGCCCGCGCTCAGCCGGTCGCCAGCCGGCCGGCGCCTCCGGCGCGCCTGCCCACGCCTCGATGTCAGCCCCCAGCTGGAGCTCGGCCAAGCTCCTGGCCGCCGCCGCCAGCGGGCCGAAGCCGCGGCCGTGCCCGGCCGCCGCGGCCCCCGCGGCCTCCCGCCAGAGGGCGGCAGGGAAGCGACCTCGACGCATCGCCTTGGCCGCCTGCCACAGCGGCGCCAAGGTGACGACGGCGAGCGGGTCGAGCCGCCAGCTCGGGCTCAAGACGCCGAAGACGATCTCGGCGGAGGCCCGCAGACCGCCCCGGCACGCCGCATGCCGAGCAGCCGTCCGCAGTGCAGCGAGTTCCCTCGCCGGGGGGCGCCCGCACGCCGCCCCATAGAGGCCAGCTGCGGTGCCGGCCGCCGCCCCGAGCAAGCAGCGGTGGCCGAAGGCCACGGGCAGGCGGCCGATCCTGGCGAAGCGGCCTGTGGCGACGCGGACCCGGGCCTTCTCGACTGCGCACCGCCTGGCAGGGCCAGCGCCTGCAGCGACCCCCAGATCGCGGAACCCCGGCCGCGAGGCCAGCGGGGTTTGCTCCGCCAGCCACCGCCGGAGCGCCCCTCCATTGGCGAACTGTCTGCTCTTCCCCCAGTTGAGGCGCCAATCCATGGCCGACTCAAAATCCGCAGTGACCCTGAGCGCGCCCACCACGGCGTCTGCTGCGTCTGCGGCGTCGGCGAGGGCCACGCGCAGCCAAAGGGTAAAGTCGTCCACGTATATGCGGCGGCGCAGGCGGCTGTCGACCCGGCCGACCTTGCACGTCCAAGGCCACGTGAGGACGCTCAGGATGAACACTGCCAGCGGGCAGCCCGGCAGCAACCCGCAAGATGGTAGCCAGGCTTCCCCGGTGGCTCGGCCCACCCGGAGGCGGCGGCGTGCTCGGTAAGCCCCCATCGCCGGCTCGACAATCCATGCGGGCACCCCAGCGCGCGCGAGGATGCCCGGGAAGGACGCCAGGTCGACCCCGTCGTAGGCCTTCCGCCAATCCAGCGCCGCCCCCGCCACGCACTCGGACAGCGCCTCGGCGGCCTCCAGCTCGAGGGCCAGCTCCCGCGCCAGCTCCTCCGCCCCCAGCCGCACATCCTCGCCGGCCCATTGCAGCCGCCAGCGGGCGAAGACCTGAGCCCTGCCTGCGGACCACAGCCGGTAAAGGATAGGGAGCTGGCGTAGCGACTTCGGTTTAGCAAAGTAGAGTGCCTTATCACACTTATAGATGTAGCTGTCTCAGATGCAAATGTACTTACCGAAGCCGCAACTACACTTACACGGTGCCCCTAACCATACTTACACAACAATTTATAATCGACATATAACCATCTTATAACTTTCATAACTTTCATAACTTCTTCAATTTCCATGCCCCTCCCCTCCCCTCCCCCCCTGTGGTTCGGTAGTTAGCCAGTAGGGCGGCGAGAAGAAAGGAGGGGGGAAGGAGGAGGACAGCGATGCATTCGCTAACGCATTCCTGGGTATGAGCGATAAATTCGCTATGTGGTTCTCTGAGCGATCAATTCGCTGTGCAATTATCTGAGCGATCAATTCGCTATAAGCGATGAATTCGCTATGTGGTTCTCTGAGCGATCAATTCGCTGTGCAATTATCTGAGCGATCAATTCGCTATAAGCGATGAATTCGCTATGAGGCCCCTGCCCATGCCGCCCCCACTGCGCCATCATTCGAAGCCGTTTGCATACGCAAGCCCGCGCGTTTTTTTTTGGGTGGGTGGGGCCGCATAGCCATGGCTGCCCAGCGCTTGCGCGACCAAGTCGAGGCCGTCGGGCGATTGCTCGAGGCAGTGCAAGGGCAGCCCTGTTTCGATACGGTGGCGGCCGCGCAGGAAAGGATGCTCGTGCAGGCTTTCGGGAGCGCGAGGCTGCAGCCCACGCAGGTGACAACCCTCTCGTCTCTCGTCGCAGCGCAACCCTGGTCCGAGGTTTCCAAGGGGAGGCTGTTGGAGAAGCTCGGCAGCATCGTGGCTTCTGGCAGCGCCGTGGGTTTGCGAATGGCTCAGCAGGATTATGAGTGCATCTTCGGGTACCTGACAGCGGGCTCGTGGCACCAGTTGGCGCGGACCGACGTGCCCGAGGAAGCGAAGCTCAACGTGCTGGCTGATGTTGCGATTAGCTTAGGTCTTCGCAACCCGGCCGAAGGCACGTATCAGATGTTGACGGCGATGTGGCGCATGGCCGTGGACGGAGCCGAGACCGCGAAGAATTTGGCGCGGGCTGCAAAGTACTCGTACCTCCAGCAGACCAAGCGCGTGTTCAAGCGCCAGGCTGCAGCTGAAATTGCGGCCCTCGTCGAGGGGAGGGGGACCTAGGAGAAGGGAGGGTGGGGGAGGAGGAGGAGGAGGGGGAGGAGGAGGAGGAGGCAGTTTCCCCTGGCCGCAATTTCACCCACGAAGGTTTCGAGGCTTCCTGCGCCCCCCGTTCGGCTGACCGAGCTGCCTACGTCCCCCTCGACGTTCTGCGAGAACCACCCTGGCTTCTTCAAGCAAGTGTATGGCGACGAGTTGCCAGCTGCATGCCCCGCGCCAGAAGCCGCGATTCGCTCCGTCCAGGCTACGTACCCATGCCGCAACACAAAGCAGCAGGCCACGGGGGCGCAGATGATGAGCGCCTCGGCGTCGCAGCCCGACGTTTTGCAGATGATGCAGCTCATGTTCGATAACTTGCGGCGGGCGGACGTCGGCGCTCAGACGGGCCCTTTGAACCTCAAGATCCTGGGAGGCGGCGCGAAACGTGCCGCGGCCTCGGCGTTCGCAGCCGTGGAGGACGCTGCCCCGAGTTCTCTTTCATCTTCCGCCTCAGAAGGGGCACCGTCGCCAGCAGCGCCAACGCCACCGTCGCCAGGGACGCCTGCAGCAGCCAGCGTCGCCAAAAAGAACGTGACTCCCCCCAAGAAGGAGGACGTCGCCTCGGTCACCGAGGACATCCTGCACGGACTCGTGGCCAAGGAGAAGGGGGAGGGCCCGAAGCCGAAGGCAAAGGGGAAGGCAAAGGGGAAGGCGAAAGCAAAGGCGACGAAGGCTGGGGCTAAGACGACGGGCGAAGGCCACGGGAAGGGCGTCACCGTGTCACCCCTGTTCAAGCCCATCAAGAAGCTCGGGTGTTCGAAGTGTCGTTACGCCAAAAAGGGGTGCTCGAGTTGCAAAGAGCGGCTCAGGATTTCAAAGCTGCTGGGTAAGTAGCTCATAATGTGTGTAGGTTTCCTGAGGCGCTCTCGGCCGCGCTGGGTCCGCCACGCACTTTGCCAGATGTATTTCGGCCTGAGCCGTGCCACACGCCGCGCGCTCATAGTCATGCTACGGTGTTTCGGACAGAGCGTCCAATGCATTTCGCTACCGCGCTTCTGTATATGGGGCCCTGGAGAGCGCATCCTAGCGTTTGGGTAAGCCGCGCGAGCGCCCCAGGGAACCCTGCCGCTCACTTTTACTCTTGTGAGGGCGTGCCTTACCGTTGCCTGCGATGACAAAAAAAAAAAAAACAGCGATCCACTCGCTAAGCGATTCATTCGCTTGGGGATAGACAGGGTGAGAGGGGTGAGAGGGGAGAGTGATGGACCGCTGACTTGGAGAGGGGTAGGAGGGGTGAGAGGGGTGAGAGGGGTGAGAGGGGAGAGGGAAGAGAGGAGGGTGAGAGGGGAGAGTTATGGATGAGGCCTCGACCCCTCAAGCCAACCCCCAACCCTGCGTCAGCGATGCATTCGCTTTCCTCCGACCTCCCATCGAAGCAGCGCTCCCTTCACCTCAACCCTGCGTCAGCGATGCATTCGCTTGCTCGCGGAGCGCCCCTGCGACCGTGCCTTCGCATTGCCATTTCGGCTCAAGGCCTCGGCTCAAGGCCTCGGCGGCCGCGCCAGCGACAATGGCCGACGACGCGGAGAGGTCACTGCAATCGTTGCTGTCTTTGGGCGACCCCTTTGCGCAGTTCCAGGATGGGGCCCAGGAGAGCGGGGGCGCTGGCAACGAATCGCGCATGAATCCAACCTCAAACTCAGAGCCCCGCATGAGTCCCATCTCAGACTCAGAGTCCGAGGGGCGGAGCGCCGCCGACAAGGGCAAAGGCTGCAAGGGCGGGTGGCGCGCCAGCGGCAAGGGCGAGCCCGACAGCGACGGCGACGCGGAGAACCCGAGGCGCAAGCAAGCGAGGATGACCTTCCTGTGGAACACCCCGCAGGCTCTCAAGGACGAGGAGGACATGGCAAAGCAGTTCGCCGTGCCATGGGCCATGCGCGGCCCGCCTCCTCCAAGCGAGGGGGGGCCGACGATGTGGCGCGGCAACAGATGGTCAGAAGGCGAGCGGCGTTGGAAGAAACGCGGTGGCACGTCCAGGGAGTTCTTCGAGGAGAAGTACGGCTACGGCGGCTGGGGCTGGCAAGCAGGCCACGTGCCGAAGCGGCCTTCGGACTACAAGGGCATGGGCGGCGGCAAGGGCGCCTCTTCCAGGAGCGGCAAAGGCCAGGAGCAGAGCAAGGGCGGCGCCTTCTCCGAGCGCAGCAAGGGCGGCAAGGACGGCAAGGGCAGCAAGGGCAGCGCCCCCGAAGGCACGCGGGCGCCGCGGGCGCAGGCCGCCTGGGACCCTCATGACCTCGAGGACATTTGAGAAAAAAAAAACAGCGATTGACTCGCTATGCAGTTCACAAGCGATTGAATCGCTATGCAGGTCACCTCTCTCGTCTATCTCCTCTCTTCGTCGCGATCCAGGCCAAAATCCCCACGCCGCCCTCCGCCGCGATCCAGGCCAAAATCTCCGCGGCGATCCACGCCACGGGCGCCGTTCGTAGGTCAAAATCTCCGCAGCGATCCAGGCCAAAATCTCTGGTCTCAGTTTTTGGGCGGGCCCTTTAGGAATTTACTGACGCCAAAAATGGGTCCCAGATTTGGCGGTCCCTTCGTGGGATGTTATTGACGCAATGAAGGCCCCCAGATTTGGCGAGCCCCTCGTGGGAAGTTACTGGCGCAAAGAAGTGCCCCAGATGCGGCGGGCCGTTCTCTCCCCCCTTCGGTCGCCTCGGCTTGCTCGACCTCCTCGCTCAGCCCCCATTCGATGCGTCGGCATCCTTGCACCCCTGCCCGTTGCATTTCCTCTCAGCGATTGCATTCGCTCCATGGGGCGGGCCGCGCGAGTAGTCATCTGCATTCGTCTGGGCTCAATCTGTTTAGAACGGTTTTCTTTCTCAGCGGCCAAGGGCCAAGGCGCGCTCGGCGGGCAGCGATGGATGGGCCGTCGGAGGCCGCGAGTTCCAGCGGGAGTGAATGGCTGTGGCGCGGCTTTTGCCCTCGCGGCGATTGCAAGAAAGCTGGCTCGTGCATCTTCTCGGACCCTGACAGGGACATCGCGAGGGAAAAGGTGGCGAACCACTTGTGGTGTTCTACCTACCACAACGAGGACAACGCCCTCGAGTGGGAGGCGGCGCTGCAGGAGGCAGACAATGACGCGTTCATTGTCTACGAGCTGGGCACGCAGAAGAGCAAGAAGCGCCCCGCGCCATCCGTGGAACCGCAGCCAGGGCGGGCCGTTCAACAGCGGTCTTCAGGACCAGTCGGCCAGTACAAGTCGAAGACAGTGGTGACGCGGGACATCACGGTGCGCAAGGGCGAGCTGCAGCAGGTCATGGATTGCCTTGACAGGTCTCTGACTGCGACGGAGCACGCCGCGACCATCGCACGCAGCGCAGCGAAGGCGTTCGAGGACAGCGCTGCTGCGATCTCGGGCGCCAAGAAGACGTTCGAGAGCATCTGCATGCGCCACGTGGGCTGAGCCACTCCAAGACGCGGCCTGCTGCCCTGCGCTCGGCCTGTCTCGGGAGCCCGCCGATTCTTTGAAGGAATAATAGCACCCTCGTGACCCAACTTGAGCGATCGAATCGCTGGCTCTTCCTCGAAACCCCATTTGAGCGATCGAATCGCTGGCTCCTCTTCAGCCCGCCCATGCGCGACCCGCCAAGATGAGAGGGGAGAGGAGGAGGGGGGGGAGGAGAAAGTAAAGAGGAGGGTTGAGAGAGGATGAGGATGAAGAAGAGTAGGAGGAGGAGAAGGAGGAGAAAAACCGAGAAGGACAGATCAGAGGGAAAAGGAGAAGGCCCGAGAGGGAG